CTCGGGAGTGACGCTCCCGCGGGGTTTGTTCTGCAAGCCCCTTCTTCCAGGATCCGGCCATCACCTACGTTTGCCCCGTTCGTATCCACGTTCAGGTCCGCGTTGCATGGACTCTTTCCTGGCCCTTTGGGCCGGGACAGACCCAGTGCCCCGGAGAGCGGCGTCCGTATGCCCCGGGGTGATGCCTGCTCATCGGGCTTTGCTGTCGTGGCGACTTGCTGCGCTCTGATTGGTCGGAGTTCTGGCTCGGACTCAGGGCTTATCCGCGGAGCGGGTGGCTGTATTAGCTGGCTCCTCTCTGGCATGCGGCTCGGCTCTGCACGGGCCTCTCGAGGTCGTCCGCTGGTGGTCTGTCAACCCCAGCGCGGTTGAACGCAAGCGGCGTGGGACGCACTTCCGCTGGATGCCCCGCCCCCCGGGTCCTGCCCTGGACGCGCTTTCAGCACATGGGCCGTGCAGCGCAATCATACCGGGCCACATACTGTGTTGCCGCCGAGGCGTCTCACCTTCATGGTTCTGCTGTCGACAGGGTCCACAGCTGGCCCACCGGCGCGGCCTGCACACCCAAACGCCCTGCCCGGCATCCTGCCCCGTCGCTGGCTTTTTGACTTACATATAGCGACCCGGCTCCTACGCCAAGTAAGAAGGAATTGCAGTGTGTGGGGGGGAGGGGTAGAGAGACAAAAAAATATACACACACGGTGACTGACGCATATGCATTGGCGCACTGACATTACATGGGTTTTTACGGAACAAATGCTTTTGTCTTAACATGGCAGCAAGCGTCACTTAACTGGGATTCCGCAACTAGCATTTATCTGTAAATGACTACAGAGCACAGGACCACCCAGACAAGAAAATATGTGAATCCATTCTTATAAAAGGTCGGGGACCGAATCTTAACGTACAGGGCTCATCATGGCCGATTAGGCGAAATGAAATGTGAAGAAATATGAAGTGAAATGTGAAAATAAGGCCATGTGAGGAGCGCAGGTGCCAAGAATGTCGCTGTTGCTATGCTAAGACCATCCTCGTTGTTGGTTAGCATGCAGATATGTAATGTTGGATGAGTTAGATAAAAATGGTGCACAGAGAATAATATCCTCGGCGCCCTAAAATAACTCTATTAGACTATTTCGGAGCTGAGATATGGGCCTCGACTTTTTGACTGGCAGAGATGACAAAACTTGCCAGAAATCGGGCCATTTTGCGGGAAAATTCCGCTATCTTGAACTGAAATGGCATGCGCTGCATTTAAGCCCGCGGGGCTCACCATTTACTACCCCCATAAGGGCAGGCCAACCCTGCATCCACCCTGACAACGCTCTCCCTAAGGGTTCAGGATGTGAATTCCAACTTCTCGGTGCGCGTCCCGGAATGCTGCGAGCCCGTCTAGCCCGCCGTATCTCATTTCCATCCAACGTTGCTGCTGTTGTTGCATGTTGTGCTCCTCTACACAGACTGTTTCTAAGCACTTCCGGTTAGGGGTCTTCAGGATAGATCACTGGTGAATGGGTAGCCCCATCCGTTTGTCGGGGGCAGGCTGGAAGCGCAATTCAGCAATAATTTTGTGGCTCTTGTGGAAGCCAACGCCATTTCCCAGCTGAAAATGTTTCATTGAATGTGCTAGGTCGAAAAATTTCGGCTTGTGACAATATTTATGTTTAAACTGGCCCGCAAAAAACAGCGTTTTTGCACCGCCATAGCGTTGGCACCATATGACTTAGTCCCATGATAACGTAACAGCAACGCTACCCAGAATGCAATAATGCGGGGCTTGTTTACAAACGTACTAGTATATCGACTTTGTCCAAAATTGTCATCCCGGAAAATGTTCGATGAAGAATGGAACGCTGAGAACTATAAGTAACACCAGGCCATGCAATATGACAATCTTTATCATCTTTGTATCATAAGCTGTGGTGACATCTTCAACGACCGGCGAGAAGAAGCGAAGCTGTCATCAAATTTGTCTAGAAAACATCCAAAATGTTCATTAATGCCAACACCGATGTGATGTTTAACAAAACATGTATAAGGAACATCCTGCTTTGCGTATGTTTATATGTATATATATATATATATATATATATATATATATATATATATATATGTATATACATAAGTGCATTATGCTTATCAAAGGACATGCGCTTAAGTCATGTATCAGATTTCACGCCAGGTAGTCGTCCAGAATTGACCAAGCTAAAGAGCCATTGTAGGTTAAGTCGATCGGATCTGTTATAGAAAATTAGCTTCAGTGCGTGCCCTCGCTCACTAGCGACAGCCTCATGGCGGGGCAATGCGAATACACCTTCAAAAAAAGTTATGTTTCAAAAACACTGCGACGCCAAATGCTCACATGCATCATATATATTTTCGTGATTGACAACGACAAGTTATTCAGATGCCTCTTTCAGTGAAAATGCCAGCATATCGTGCAATTTTCTGTTTCCTGTGAAGATTGTCTAGCCTCCAGAAAATCTAGCCGAATCATGACCGAAGTGACATAACGAGAGAGCATTAGGGGGAGAGGGGGTTGATGCGGCCCTACCCCCGGTGTTTTCAAGCTTATAAAGATAGAGCTTTCTTGCCGCCCGCGACCCGAGCCAGCCATAGATCGCCGTGGAGTGCTTAACACAAACTGCCGCTGCTCCGAAAGCAGAAAATCTAGGAGCACGTTTTGGTATCAAAACCAGTGTCATAATCACCACCTATCATTACGAAGCTTAAACGTCATGTTGTTGCTGCGTTGGGTATTGGCGACGATTTTTCGTGGAACGATATTCCTCATTTGGTGATAACTGCTACCATAGCGGGTAAAACAGAAAAAAAAACAATGCTTGCTTCCTTCCATATTTACTTGCTTCTAGCTTGACCTCGCGCTGACACAGTCCCATAAGACCAAGCCCCTTGCAACAAACTGTGATCTGTCCGTGGACTGGCGCCGAAAGGTCCCGATGCTCACGAAACTTTCCCCGCCCGAACAACTAGAATGTCTTCATTGACGCACCAGACTGTTCGCACGCGCTTGGCGTCAGGCGGGTTGGCGCGAATGAAAATGGCGCGAACGATAAGATAGTCGACCAAGGCAACCGATCGCTGTTATCGCGTAGGGCGAATTGCGTTGAACGCGTAGGACCGAAGGAAATATGACAAAGATACGGGTATGTAATTTGAATATGATCATAATAGTTTTCAATATGTTCAGCTCCTTCCATCATTTCGCTGATTTTTTTATAATGGATGTAGGAGCACACAGTGCGGTTACGGCAAGCCCAGTGTGTGTGAGGCATGCTGCACATGCTCTTGAAACGGGAAATGCAACAGTGTAGGCGTTGGGCAACAAGCAGCCGATGAGACATGGCAACACCAAGGCAAATGTCAGAACATCATGTCATTGTCGGTATTCAGCGGATACGTGGCGATTAGGCAGTAGTGTGGCGGCAGGTTCTGCCATTTAATTGTTTTTTTCCGCCATGTCATGCGGAGGCAGGCTTTCTTTCATGCACGTCTCGGTTAAAATGACAGCATACCGTGCGGTTGTGTTTCTTCTCACATGTTTCTAGTCTCCATAATATATTGCCTAGTTGTGAAAGGAGCTATATAACGGGAGACGTGTGTCACCAGAATTGGAGTGTGAATGCATGAATACATATCACGTAATGCTTAGAAATATGTGGTTGATGGTGATATTCCATCTGCATGTGTTATGTCGTACGCATGTGTAAGTACCCACTCTCGCTGTCTTACATACTGTTATTGCTACATTGGACATCGGCAATGATGTTTCGTGAAAAGATGATCCCTACTTTGTCAAAAATTGCAACCATGTGAGGCAAGATTGTTTGCTTACTTCAATATTTACTTGCTCCTTGTTTGATCTCACACTGAGCCCGCCCCCGAGAACCCACTCCCACGCGACAAGTCGTAATCTGTCTGGGGTACGGAGCTGGACAACTACGGCGCTTGGGAAATTCAAAGCTGGAAACGTCCCCGTCCGACCAATTATGAATGCCATTAGAACATTTTCATCCACGCGCCGAACTTCACGCGTTTGACAACAGCCCGGCTGGCGCGAATGAAAATGGCGCGAACGACCAGCTGATCGGGCAAGGGAACCGGTGGCCGTAACGTGTAAGTCAGAAGTCAGTGAATCAGACTTCGCATGAGGCCAAGGGAAATATCACCGCGATGCAGGTATGTACCTACATATGTATATATATCCGTGTGTGTGTGTGTGTGTGTGTGTGTGTGTGTGTGTGTGTGTGTGTGTGTGTGTGTGTGTGTGTGTGTGTGTGTGTGTGTGTGTGTGTGTGTGTGTGTGTGTGTGTGTGTGTGTGTGTGTGTGTGTGTGTGTGTGTGTGTGTGTGTGTGTGTGTGTGTGTGTGTGTGTGTGTGTGTGTGTGTGTGTGTGTGTGTGTGTGTGTGTGTGTGTGTGTGTGTGTGTGTGTGTGTGTGTGTGTGTGGTGTGTGTGTGTGTGTGTGTGTGTGTGTGTGTGTGTGTGTGTGTGTGTGTGTGTGTGTGTGTGTGTGTGTGTGTGTGTGTGTGTGTGCTCTTGTGTGCCGTGAAAACAGAGGACCAAATCCGGTTACACACCCAACAACCCGTCACTGCCGAGGTCCGGTATTCACTACCGAGGTCCAAATAGCCGGACCTCGGTTTTCAGAGGCCTTAAATGAGATATTTAGTCTTGTTTGAACATGTTTATTCGATTTTCAGCTGGTCCTCGAAAAACGCAATTATACGCATTTTTACTTCCGGTTGTGTAAAGTGTGTTATCTTGGACGAACTGCGCGCGTGTGTAAGTTTTTCAGGTGGCAAGGTCACGTGGAAGAGAATAGAGATGAATAAGGAAATGCAAAATCACGCTGCTCCATGATGTGGTCTCATCACTTGTAAGTTGTTTGCGTTTGGTATAAGCATTTAAATCACATTGAATCACGTTGAAACTGGTGATGAAAGATATAAATGTAAATTGTGTTAAGTCACATGGGATACGTAGCTCTATCGCCGCCATTGCGCGTTCTTGGAACGAGCGCGACGGTGACGTTGCGGTGTGCGGCCTCTCGGACGAGAAGACTGGGCTTACGTTGGATGCAAGTTATTGTCGTCCGGCAAGGTTTTAAAAAGTGAGTAGTAAATATTCGAAAGGGATTGGTGAACCCTGTTTACCGACAACTGTAGCTAATGGAGGACTGATCTGCCTTGATTGATTAGAGAATGGTGTGCTGATAAGGATAGTTGCTGAAGTGGCAAACATTGTGTTAGCTTTTGAAGGTGGTTGAAGAGATTGACTTCAGCAATATTATGCAATTGTCTGGGTAGGTTTATCACGCTAGACCAGACGTTTGTAAGGGGGATGCTTGCAGTTTTTCTCATGCATTTGCAGTGGGTGTTGTATTACATTTAAAAAATGTTGCCGTTAGGTACTTACAGACATGTTCCCCAACCCCCTAGAACAACACGTTTTTAGAGGCTTTGGGCACCAATTTAGCCTTGAAGGGGAAATCATTACAAACATAAGGTTTTCCATACATCGGAACCTTAGTGTGTGGTAGATACCAGAGCATAAAAGGGTGTGTGCCACATTTGTATGGGTTTCAATTGAAATTAGCCATCTTGAAGATCATTCAGTATGTTACACAGTCCTGCCATTCTTAAGCACCCTTCTAATTTTGTAAACCTTTCTAGTTTCTGATCTACACACCTGCAAAGGTGCGAATATTATTTCGTGGTGACTATTTCAAGGTCACCCAGGCACCCACAACGCGTAATGTCTTCAAATGCTGCCATTTCATTGGCCATGGGGCGATTAAGGCAAGCCATCATATGACCGTTGCGTCGTTCATATCCGGCTTTGTGAATACATTTTCAGACGTAACGGACCGTCGGTTGGCTCAAATCAATGTTGTGCAAGATTACGTAAGTTGTTCAGTGCATTAGCATTAGCAGAGGAGCATTTTTCACATAGCTAAGACAATATTAATAGCCTTATTCGTCGAAGAAAAACCGGGAGAATAAAGATATAGTTGAATTGATATTTCGGCAACATGCCTATATCGAAAAAGTAGCAGAAATAAATTCAAAATTGCCTGCTGGTGGCCCTACCCGATTTTTCAGCTTTTTTGGAAATAGAAAGCCAGTTTTTACAGGACACCAACTCTTAGAGGATTAAACAAAAAGTTATTGCTAGCCGTTACCACGATACGGTGCTTATCTAATAATTAGAATAGGCGACAATACGTGTACATGCAAACTAATTCAAGCAAGTAGGCGTCATGCATTACGCTTCGTTCAAACATACAAACGAGTTGAGGTTAACAGGTATCACAGTCGCGCATCAATTATACATGCAAGCGATTTCAACTGAACAGACATCGCATATCACGCGTCAGGCGTCACTTCACATGTTAACTATTTTAAGCTAGCACACATCGCATATAAAGGCACATATCATGTTCGCAAAATCGGCCAGGATGAGCTTTGTATGTTAAAATTTGGTCGCTGATTTTTTGCAAGAATAGATTAAATTTTTCCCTACCTGGGTGGCCCTCTGCTCTGTAGACGACTTTGGGCTCTAAAAGGGGCATAGGGTCCATACCTCCCTCGATTTCAGCCTGAGCATGTTTTGCCAAAAAATGGTCACCGAAAGGGGTATTCCCTGTTTTGTTTGAGTCTATGTCGGGAAGTCCATACGTCCCTCACGTTTAAGATACAATGAACACCTCCGGGGCGCTAAAAACAAAAAAAAATACTTACTTAGTCCTTAGTTAATCTCCACCCACTGAATAATTTTTAGCATTGTTGCTGTTTCAGGTGATGTTATAGCCACTGGACATTGAAGCGATTGAAGACCAGAAAGCCTTAGTGCGACCGGCTTGATTCAGGTCAGTTGATGTCAGGAAAGTCAAATTATTTAGGAAATGACTACTCTGAAGAGGGTGTGAATCATTTGTGACATGTAGAATTTGTTGTCATCAGCTCTAATCTAGCATTTCATGCATGCTTTTCTTTCTCTATCTACCCCATCACATTGTCCAACACTGCCAACACCACTGCATCGTCCGACCCCCACAAATATGCCACTACACTGCCTGGCTCCACCATCCCTATCAGTGCCTTAACCAGTAGGATGTCATTACAGTGCATGACACCATGCACCCCACCACAATGTCTGGGTCTACCCATCCCACCATGGTGTCTGACCCCTCCAGCTCCATGCGAGTGTCGGCTCCATGCAGCTGACCCCATTGCCCTGCCAGTTTCACCAGTGTCTGATCCTGCCAACACCACCAATGTCTGCCTCCCCCCCTACCACTGTGTGACCATAACAGCTCCTGCATGGTGCGTGACCTCAGTGTAACGCCATTTTGGTATCTCATTCCACCATCCTCATCGCTGGTCTACGCAAGCACGTGTCGACTGTACCAGCCCCACTTTATTCTGCAACCAACGCCACCACCACCTGCACCAACACCACTAACATATCGCGGCCTGCAATTATGTAGGTACACCCGCATCCGCGTTATTGAATGGTCTTGTCAACATTTAGTGCTCCTTCTCTGTGGCACCACCGGTGCATGGCGTCATTCTTTAATGAAACATGCAAAAACATTTTTGTTCTCAGGTGGCTTATATGTATACCATTGGGAGAGTTAAAGAAGTTTAGTCCTCTAAAAGAAGTCCTCCGGAAAGTTTACTGCAACAAAGGTAACTCAGGCTATATTTGGGATGCTTAAGGACTTACGCGCAACAGCATTTTCATATGCTATTTGCAATATGGAGCATGATATTCTTCGGGAAGGACAGGTTTTGGGGCGTTCGGGTCAAGAGTTCGAGCTCATGGGTCCTCGAGAATATTTACCACGGGCACGGCTACCCGAAGAAAAATGAGAAGCATTGGCGATGGTGGAAATAGGCCTCGCAAGCAGTTTCCCTGCCAAATTCGAACAGGTGGGGTGCAGAAGTTGCTTTAAAAAGTTTTTAGTCACTGGCAGTCTCGGTCTTTTCATTGTATGTGAAATGTGTATGGCTTAGGGTGTTTGCTGCAACATAGTTTCTTTAATTATTTCCTATGAATGGGACGATTGAACCAAGCCTTGGATCATTACTATATGTTGTTTTACGCATTTTACGACGGGATCAATGATATATATATATATATATATATATATATATATATATCTATCTATCTATCTATATCTATATCTATATCTATATATACACATATATAGATATATATATATACATATATATATACATACATATAATATATATATATATATATATATATATATATATAATATACATCACCAACGCCGGTTTGTTTGCGCGGAAATCACCGACGCTTTCATGAGCGTGGGGTCCGGCCGCTCACTGAACATAGCTTGTGGTAGCGGGTTTGGCTGCCACATCCGGCTCCGGGCCATAACGGTGTTGCCAAAAACCCATCGAGGGGACACTAAGCATGGTTCTGGTCTGCGCACTCCGGGCAGACCAAAATGCCTGCGAAGAGACCTCGTCTGCGGGGGCTAGACAGACGAGTGTCTCGCAATGGCGTGGAGAAGCCCATCCGCAGCAAGGAGGGGTGTCGGTCTTCCAGCGTGTCACGTTGTCAAAAACAGTTACGGCCGTTGGTGTGCATTGGGGCTGCCTCCCATCTGTTTCGCGGCCAGCATCACGGTGTGACGTCGGATAGTTTCAAATGCGATGGTCAGGTCAGCGGTTTGGTTGTCTGGTCTTTTTGTAATTTTTGTTGATGCATTCACATATAGCGTGCAATCACACTCACAATACGCACTCGATCCAAAATCATAAATCAAATATATCATAATGTTTGCATCATGGCGCACACTACCTTCATCCTGCACTACCCGCGATATGGCAGTGATCAGAAAACTGTCCACTCTTACCAACCAGCCAGTAGACATACACTTGGGCTAGGGGGGCGTACTCGCCCGGGGGCTGGGATGACGGTCTGTGGGCCACCGCCGCCTGTCTGTCGTAGTTTCGTCATTTCTTATTGATGCATTGTTTGAGCTTAGAGGCAATAAGCTTTTTACCACAACTCGTTTCGGTTATGCCTCGCTGTCTTACGACTGTTAACCGTATGGCGTGCATGAACAGCATGGACATTGACAGGGCGTAGTAAGCCTAGGACATCAGGGCATGGACTCGCAATTGCCGCATGCGGTCAGCGATGATACTGGAACTGTTTGCTCTTCTCTAAATCGATTCCCATCGCAGCTGTGCGTGCGTGGCTACAGGAATGAAGACAGGCACGCCATAGTTTGCCAACGGGACGCGCGTACCATGCATGAGGGCCGTCCGAATCACGGTAGCTGCTGATCGCGTTGACGATGAATGTTGGCGACTCTGCTGTTGTTGGCCTAATTTCAGGTTAAGTTCGGCTGCGTGGCTAGAGCTTAGTACGATTTATTGTTGTCCCCCTCTCTCCGCCCCCATCGCCGCCCCATCACTTCCTTCCTTCTTGACGGCAGTGCATGTGCTCTAACAAGATGGGTAATATGTACGCGGACGGGAGGCATGTGGCCTCCGATATTCGTTCACGGATTTGCTGTGAACTGGAAAGCTATCTTTCCGGACACGACTATTGCACAGCTATTTTAATCCCACCACCCGTGAGCCATCAGCGTGGTGCATGCCCACGCTTCTGAACACAAGCATAACTTTCTTTCACGTGGGGGTCACAATCCTGTCCTGAACTGAAATTTCTCATATCTCACCCGTTTTCGACTTTCCAGATTACTCCCGAGAGCGACACTCGTTAAGGATGCGAGTATTTGAAGTTCCGCTTTCAAGCATTGGACGGCCTGCAAATTACCATTGGAGCCAAACTGTATGCATTTTCTAGATGATCTTAAATACAGAGCGGTATTCTAAAGATGTAGTTGTGCAGTGTGTAGTTCGTAGATTACGAAACAACGGAGCGAGAATACAGTTGGCGTTCCGTTTTGGGTCAGTTATTTTGTTTTCCTTTTTCCATGTTTTAAAGTCGCTGTGCTTTATGCTCAGGATCGAAGCAAAATGTACAGGAGTAGGCTGCGATGTGATGCGTGTTGTATAAAACCAATAAACCAAAAATGGCATCTCTGTCTGCAAAGGGAAAAATCTGGACGAAGTCGACTACCTCAACAGCGCACCAATGGCAGAAGAGGACGGTCCGGAGTACATAGGTTAAGACGATTGTGTGGTGGAGGTCGCAAATGTCCTACCTGGACAAAAAGCCAAGAGGGGAAGGGAGACTTGTTTTCGTAGGAGACATCTTCACATCGAGAGACTAACAATGACGCTCAGGAAAAAAACACCACTGGCAAAAAAGACGTATTGCCTGGTGCAATGCGGAAAAGGCAGCTGTGATGAGGCAGCTTGGCATGTTTGTTAGCCACATGGAGGTTTCTGGCCAAGCTGCATGCTTACGTGCCCTGTCAGCAGAAAATGCTCTGTCCTAGCGCTCATGGAGAGATGTTAAATCCATGTCCATAACGTGATTGTTAGAGCACGTCGTAAGGCGAAATGAGTCTCAGTGACTTACACATTAGATGTCGACTTCGTTCACGTTTGGATGATGCTCGCTAGTAAATTTCGCAACGACAAAAACGATCTCCTTGTTGTTGCTCCCGTTTATAGTAGCAATCTGTGTAGGTGGAGCTGATGAACGGTGAAAAAGCAGTGCTCACCAAGGGCAGTGTGGCGAGATTTGCAATTCTGGGCGGAAGATGACACCTAAGCACGGAAATAGACCCACCCCATTGGTAAAAACGCGTTATACCTGAATGTCAGTTTGGAAGCAAATTAGGTGTGTCATTCTCCTGTCGCATCTTTCCAATACAGGATTCAATGCAAATGCTTCTTTCTCTACGTCATTTTTGAGATCCGTTGGCAAATCTGACACCACTACACTTAACCAAAGCACACTTGTTTACATTGGGAAGTGGTGGGCCACAGGGGCCTTTGACTAGTTTTTGAAGACTGGAATGGGCGCGTGGGCGTCGAGCACGAAATCTCGCATCAGCCAAACAGCCGACATGTTTATGAGGCAGCTCGTTTGGCTTCAGTGACTGACTGCAATGACTGTAACGACTGACTCATTGATTTTAGTGTTGCACGGTCCTCCTTCCTCGGTCAGCAGCTGATTGCTACATCCCGCCGCACCATGGATTGCACTTGTATGAAGAAAGTGCATATGCGTAATTGACACGTATATAAAAACCCAACACATACGCAAGCCGTGGGAAAGGCACATTTAACAGGTAGCATGAGCACGTGACTCACAGTTACACCAACAGCGAACCATTCACCCACACTCAGTCGCATAAGAGGCCATCATTAAGTAGACCGCTGCATTGACGCCGGCACAAGCCGTATCCCAAAAACGGGCCACAAACTGTGCACCCCACCAATGGAGGCCGCCGCGCACTCGCGCCGCCAGTCACATCCACAGCATCAGAGGCTGTGTGCTGTCGCCCTAAGACACCGGGGTTCGCGAGCAGGGTCGAGCAACATGGGGCTTTGTATACTGACTGGAACACCGACAGTGTAGAAGAGACTGTCGGAGTCACCTGCGAATGAGATGAACGGCGGCTGCCCGCCGAAGCACCTGAAACTGCAGTAGCTCGGTCAGCAGATAAGCAGTTCCAGCAGCCCCTCGAGTCAATTTTTCCACCGCTGTCTGGGGCGTCGCCTCCGTTGCCCGCTCCTCAGCCCCGGCCGCCCTCTGCTGCAACCGTTGCAACAGCAGAAGCTTCGGGAAAACCGCCGTCGAGTAGTGTGCCGCCGACCGGGTCATTGATGATGCTTTAGCACTGTTAGCACTATTAGTACTAAAGGGTCATGGAAACCCAAAAGGCGTTGGTTGCCCTTTCTCCTACTCTAATCGGGCCGTTGGGGACGGAAAACATTTAGTGTCCCGGGTGTCCAGCCGTCGGGGCAAACACTCATCGGGTAGTTTAATGAACTGCAGTCATTTGTTATTCGGTCCGAGGCGATTCCACAACATGGAGCCAATGTCGTATGGAGGTCGATGGAGCCAAAATTCGTTGGTGATATCAACCGGCCTGGGGAGGGCTTTTTCATGAAGAGTGTTCAGCAGGTATTAACATGGCGTATGCTGCTATTTATCCGACTTGATTTAGACTTCAACGGGACGACCGGAAAGTGCACCATGATAAAATAGAGTAAAACGATTGTTATATTATAGATGAATGATTTAAGCAGCAGAAAGCCTACGATCCGCCGTTATTTGCCTATATCTGAACGCAAACCAACAGCCTGACGCGCAAGCAGGAGCGCAGGGAGGGAAGGCCACAGGGGGCACGTTCCCCCTGCCTAAGGTTTCAGGGGACCCGAAGGGCCTCGGGATTTACGATTAAGGGCCTGATTGAGGGCCCAAAGGCCAGAAAGGTCGGCTGGAAGACTATTCAGGAGCCCCGCCGGCACAATGGGGCACTCCAATGCCAGCGATATTTTGTTTGGGGGGGGGGGGGGGGCTTTCACTATTGGGGAGCCCTTTATCAACCTGTGCGTGCCCCTGGCCCATTGCCAAGGCTCTGGCTCGCGCGCTTGTGCACAAGATAGCATATTGATATCTGGCCGTGTTTGGTTTGTCGCCGTCAGTCTTTCAAAGGTGGCCGCGACACTGGTTTATGAGATGGTCGTTGCCTCGCTGATTAATTAACATGTTGGTTTCAAGCGATACATTTGTCGACAAATATCCAAACAGACTGTTCGACATCGTCTCTCACCGGTAAAGGGGCCCTCAGTTTCCCAGCAACCCCAAGGAGTCCTTCTGAATGATGTTCGAGGCCCCCGACCTGAGAGCCTTTGTCCCTTTGTCCTTAATTTCCAAGTGCAACTCCCGGTCCTCAATACACAGCTGAATATGACAGAAAGTCACACACGGTCCTCTGTTATCACTATGTCCTCGGTATTTTCAATTGCCAGTGTAAGCTAAAGATGGCAGCTTTACCCCTCGAACGACCCATCCTGTTCTTAAACAGCCAAATGGCTGCATGGCCTTCCAATTTGGCTGCGATGCCGCCATTCGTTCGGGTTTCTCGGTAGTGACGGCTGAGTCAGGTGTCCCGTAAAGCACGGCACACAAGTATGTGTGTGTGTGTGTGTGTGTGTGTGTGTGTGTGTGCGTGTGCGTGTGCGTGTGCGTGTGCGTGTGCGTGTGCGTGTGCGTGTGCGTGTGCGTGTGCGTGTGCGTGTGCGTGTGCGTGTGCGTGTGCGTGTGCGTGTGCGTGTGCGTGTGCGTGTGCGTGTGCGTGTGCGTGTGCGTGTGCGTGTTCGTGTGCGTGTGCGTGTGCGTGTGCGTGTGCGTGTGCGTGTGCGTGTGCGTGTGCGTGTGCGTGTGCGTGTGCGTTTGCGTGTGGTGTGTGTGTGTGTGTGTGGTGTGTGTGTGTGTGTGTGTGTGTGTGTGATGGATGTGATAACAAAATATTGAGTTCGTTTCATTTTTTTGCTACGTCTTTGGTAATGGGGTAGGTACATCGTGTGCTCGGGCAAGGGCAGCAGAGAGCACTTTGGACGGTGCGTATTGCAAATGCTCTGGAACGGGAAGAGCCATGGAGTATGCAAAAGGCGTCCAGCAGCGGGTCGTATGTAGCAACACAGCGTGCGTATCAGTTCGCGTGCTGAACCGCTGGTAGGTACGTGTTCACTTGAAGGAAACATGCGCGTAGAGCCTGCGTGGGGAGAGTTTATAGGTAGCATGGCCCAGTACACATGTCTCGTGAGAAGGAGGCGCCAACTACATAGGATGTGCAAACAACACTTTTCGGAACATAGAATTGGGTTTTGCAGTCATTAACACAACACGGCATATGCTCAGATCCACACCAAAGTGACATAAATGGGGCTTACGGGTGGAGCCGAATGACGAATTAGGAAGAAAGAACGGGCCACGCTTTGAGGCGATGAGGCGATAAGGTGTGTCTTGTCAACCGACCTTGACCAATAGCGTATCCAGAGTGGTAGGGGGAGGGGGTGCGATGGGCTATGGCCTCTGTCCCTTGAGGCGAGGGGGCAACAAAATGTCATTGTGAAGGGGCAGCAAAATCTTCATTTCGGATCCACCCAACCTTTATCTTCAAAAGACCCCAAAATTCCACGGGCACCACCAATGACCACAAATATTTACTTTCGATAGGCACTGAAATTTGGGAACACCATAACCGGCCCAAAACCTTCATTTTCTACAGACACCAAATTTCAGTGATACAGTATTGTGCTTCCGACCCTGACGAAATCCTGGATTGGCCCCTTTGGCGAGGAAGCACCAAAATGATCAGTTTGGGGCACCATAACTGTAATTTTGCGGCACCATAACCTTTAATTTAAAGAGCCCCTCTGGCGGCCCCTCTGAAAAAGCCCCTCACTTCGGTTCACTCACCTCACTTCACTTCGGTCACACAATCGGCCCTTTGTGGGACTGATGCCCATTCTTCAAGCATGAACAAGGTCTGGGCCCACGAATGACGTTCAGAAGACCTCGCGAGTCGCATTGGTCGGGGTCCCCTTGTCGAACAGGATGTCCTCAGACCACAGTGCATACATAATAGGAAATTCTGTGCTGCTTGAGCCGGCCGGAGGCCCATTTGGTACCCATCACAGCCCACCACAGACCTTCTCCGTTGGTTCGGGCCCTCTGGAACGACAGAAGATTGATAGCAGTGAAAGGGTGCATAATGAGCCAATGAGACGGAAGAAGGGCTCCGATTCTCACAGGAGGCCCCAGTAACAACTGGGAGCCCTCTACCCCGCTTCGACCAGTGACTCGTTGGGGGAACTGGGCCCCCTGTGCAAATTA